AATTCCCCTCGCCGAAGGGAAGAGGGGTTGTGGAAGAGGAAAGAAACCCTCCTCACACCACCTTCCCAAACGGCTGGTGAGTGAAATTTCTCCCTGTCGCACACCGGGGACAATCATCTCGCAAATGGATAGGTTGTTTTCGAATTCTGGTTCTCGCCTTGGCGTGGCGCGGGTTTCTTGTAAACATTTGCGAAAACTTCACCGACTAGGGGCGGGTCGTTTTCAAAATGTGGCTCTCGCCTTAGCGCGGCGTGCGTTCGTCTCAAAACCAGAGTTTCGCGGATTGGGGGCGGGTGGTTAAAAACATGTGGTGTTCGCTTTAGCGCGGCGCACATTCGATTTCAAAATTCGCAAGAGCTTCACGGATTGAGGGCATGTAGTTTTCAACATGTTGTTCTCGCATCATCCAGCGTACATTCTTTGTACCAATTTGCAAGAGTTTCGCGAATTGGAAGCAGTTCGTTATCAACATGTATTTCTCGCGATGACACATTATTTTCAACATGTAGCTCTCGTTTTAGCGGGGCTTACATATGATTTTAAAGTTTGCTAGAACTTCACGCGCAGCGCACATTTTGCGAACAGTGAGCCTAACATTTATTGAAACTTTCGCTTAGCGCCTCACGCATACTTTCACACAACTTCAAACGTTTTGACAGGATCCAAGATTACGCGGTGATCCTAATGATGGGTATGTTTGTATGTATGTATGTATGTATGTATGTATGTATGTATGTATGAATGTATGTTGTCTATGAATTGTTCCGTTATCTCGGCGATGTCGGCCTTTGTGCAAAAAAACGGGGATGCGATGCAGAATTATCGTCTGTCAGACCAAGACGGTACGGACCCAGGCTTGCATTTCATCCCGGTAGAATGATCGCAAACATGGTCACGGCTCAATCATTCCCTACCTAGGCTCTGCCTAGAAGGGTTCTTACTCGCTTGGCTTAAAGAGGCCGGGCAGTGCAAACCGCCCCGGGCGGTTCCCCCAGTCCCCTGGGAGCCAAGCAAAAGCAACAGCAAAGGTAAAAGCAAACGCGCGGTTCCCCCCAGGTGTAGACATAGATGTAGATGTGAGGTAGATGCAGGTGTAGATGTAGATGTAGCTGTAGGTGTAGATGTAGGTCTAGATGTAGATGTAGGTGTCGATGTAGATGTAGGTGTAGATATAGATGTAGATGTAAAGGACTCCCCAGTGCCCCGCCCTCATCTCCGTGCCTGCTTGCTTTTGCTGCTGTCTCGGCGACTTGCTGCCTGCTTCTGCTGCTGCTTCGCTTACGGCGTGGCGTCGGCGGTTCTGGCGCTACTACTACTACTACTACTACTACTACTACTACTACTACTACTACTACTACTACTACTACGACTACTACTGCTACTACTACTACGACTACTACGCGATACTACTACTACTACTACTACTACTACTACTACTACTACTACTACTACTACTACTACTACTACTACTACTACTACTACGACTACTACTACTACTACTACTACTACTACTACTACTACTACTACTTACTACTACTACTACTACTACGACTACTTACTACTACTACTACTACTACTACTACTACTACTACTACTACTACGCTACTACTACTACTACTACTACTACCACTACTACACTACTACTACTACTACTACTACTACTACTACTACTACTACTACTACTACTAACTACTACTACTACTACTACTACTACTACTACTACTACTACTACTACTACTACTACTACTACTACTACTACTACTACTACTACTACTACTACTACTACTACTACTACTACTACTACTACTACTACTACTACTACTACTACTACTACTACTACTACCGCTACTGCTACAACTACGACGATGAGAAGGAGGAGGACGGCGTTTACCGCTCCTACTAATGTTGCTTTCGTAGAAGCTCCAACTCCTAGGTAGGGCCGCACTGGGATAATTCCCTACCTAGGCTCTGCCTAGAAGGGTTCTTACTCTCTTAGCTTAAAGGGGCCGGGCAGTGCTAAGCGCCCTGGGCGGTTCCCCCAGTCCCCTGGGAGCGGTTCCCCCCAGTCCCCTGGGAGCTTTAGCTTTAGCTTTAGCTTAGCTGTAGCTTAGCTTTAGCTTAGCGTTTCGCTGAGCTTTTCGCTTAGCGTTTAGCTTAGCTTTAGCTTAGCTTGAGCTTAGCTGTAGCTTAGCTTTAGCTTAGCTTAGTTTTAGCTTAGCTTTAGCTTAGCGTTAGCTTTAGCTTAGCTGTAGCTTAGATGTAGCTTAGCTTTAGCTTAGCTGTTGCTCAGCTTTAGCTTAGCTTTAGCTTAGCTTTAGTTTAGCTTTAGCTTAACTTTAGCTTAGCTGTGGCTTAGCTGTAGCTTAGCTTTAGCTTAGCTTTAGCTTAGCTTTAGCTTAGCGTTACTGTTACTACTAATGCTGCTTTCCTAGGGGTTCCAACTCCTAGGTAGGGTCGCACTGGGATATTTTTCATTTCTGGGGCGTCCAATCGCCGGAAAAATCCTGGACATTATATACAATTACTGAGCATTTTTTTTGGATTTTTTTGAAAGGAGTTCAATGAACTTGCACCTCTGTTGTTTCGAAATCTCTCCCTCGCTCCTCCTCTCCTCCCTCGAGGAGGGCCGTAAGTAAAACATCATGTTGCTGCAACTCCGGCTCCAAGTCTAGGAGGAGAAGGAATAGGAGGAGGAGGCGGAGGAGCCGGGGCCTGAGCTGGAGCCCGAGTTGGGGCCGGAGCTCGTCCTCCTCCTCCTCCTCCTCCTCCTCCTCCTCCTCCTCCTCCTCCTCCTCCTCCTCCCCCTCCTCCTCCTCCTCCTCCTCCTCCTCCTCCTCCTCCTCCCCCTCCCTTGTCATATTAAGCCTGGCCCCGTGGCTTTCAGATCCTCTGTATCCTTCCTCTTCGTTTTCGAGACGGGCGTTTGCTGAAGCGAGTTGGGACTACTGCTGTGGTGCAGCAAAGAAAACTAGAGAAAAACAGTAGAGGGTCGGGCGGGCAACAAACGCTCCTGGCACTTACACGGAGGCTCCTGGTGGAGATCCATGCGACGGTACCGCCGCTCCATGCCGATGGCGCTCCCTTTCCCTACGCAAGCGCCGCAACGAGGCCCCCGGAAAAACACACGACGTACCCCAAAATGGTCCACAACTCCATGCTCGGTCAGGGAGGGGGGGCGGGTTCCCAAGCTGTCAAGATACGAGCAACAGATGCGCGCCCGTGGGCACAAGGGGTGCCGAACAGTTGCTGCTCAGCAGCCTTAAAGGAGGAGAGGGAGGAAGAGGAGGATGAGGATGATGAGCCATCCCCTCCACGTCAGCATGTCTGCGCTGGAAAAATAGTCGCAAACGAGTAAAACCAGACCGAAGTCCTTCATGAAAGCAAATCTCCCCCATCCGCATCCTGAGCCCCATGCTCATTTTCATCTGGGCCATGCCCTCATCGTCGAACCTGCCTCTTTCTTTCTTTCCGTCAGCATGCTTGCCCTGGACAAGCCAATCCCGAATAAAACCAGGCCGGCAGTCTTATGAAAACACCCCCCCCATCCGCATCGTGAGCCCCGCGCCCATCTTCATCTGGGCCATGCCCTCACCATTGCACTCGTCCTCCCTTGCTACGTCTGCGCACCTACCGTGGAACATCCGCCCCCGTATCCCACGACCCCCCCAAGCCCCCAAGCCCCCTCTTCCATCTTCCGTCTTCCCTTTCGGCGAAGATTTTCCCCTCCTTCACCTTCTCCTTTGAACTTGGACACGGGAGCTGCGAGGTGTCAGAGCGTCTCCTGGGGGACGACGCTAATTTGGGACCCCCCTTCTTAGATCTCAGAAGATGGATCTCCTCCAAGATAGGGTTTCTGACTTTCCTCCTTTTCTTTTCCTTCCTTTGAAAAAGGCCAACCTGCGGCGTGTTTGCCTGGCGGCATCTGGTCACTCTGTGTGGCCTGTCGCCCAAACCCGGCCAACTCTCAGCAATATACAGTAGAAGCAGAACGCACCGCATACGCATCAACTTTCAAAAAGTCCGCGCAGATCTCTTGGACTCGCGCTGGGCCTTCCCACGCCAGTGGCGGCGCCGGAAGCGACGCCAGGGGGGCCCAGGATCCAGCTCAAGAAACCCGCGTGAACCTCATAGAAATAATGCTCGTGTTTTTCTTTTAATCTTGTCTTGTTTGTCTCCCCGAGCGTCTCCGAGCAGGGCAGACTGAAACAGCAGCAACTCAAAAGCTCCCCCCAGACTGGACCCCTCCCATGACCCGAGCGCGCCCATTTCCTGAGCGGCGTCCAGCCGTGGCGACGAGGGGGCTCACGAAGGCCAACTGCCGCTGTCTCGACTCGCCCCCCAGCGTTGCGCTGCTGTTTCTGGGCCGCCGCTCGGCTCCCTGGCGGCCCATCGCGACGATCCAGGCAACCCCGGAGCGCCCTCGGCGAGGCGCGGCCGCTCAAGGCAACCGAGGCTGGGAAACCGCATGGGACCATTGAACAGGCTAGAAACGTTGGAACTTCGAACTCCGACCCCCCGATCCGCCCTCCCTCGAACTAGGAGGCCTCCTAGATGGGGTGCGAGTGAAGGGGGCTGGAGGATCGCGCCGCATCGCCAATGCATCGCCGATGCGTCGCCGAAACATCGGCGATGCATCGGCGACCTGGGCGCTGCATCGGCGACGTCGGCGTGGAGGACATCGGGCTCCACATCGAGCCGCACCGCCGATGCATCGGCGATGTGGCGCAATCCTCCAGGCCCCATCGGCGCCGATCGCAGACCACACCTCGGCGTAAGCATAATCTTTGCGGTTGCCGAGCCCCGTCGTCTCACTCCGGGAGGGGGCAGCGATGGGCGTGTCTTCCACCACCACAGGTTGGAGTGGAAGGGGGTCCTCCTCTCCTCCTCCTCCTCCTCCTCCTCCTCTCCTCCTCCTCCTCCTCCTCCTCCTCCTCCCCCTCCTCTCCTCCCCTCCTCCTCCCTCATGTGGTGCCTCCGCGCGCCCTTTGCCTTTTCGCCGTTCACATGCGGCTATTCGCGGGCAGGCGCGGCCCCGCGGCCGGCCCCGCGCGGCGAGACGAAGGGGCGGCGGCGTCACGGGGGGCCGCCGCAGACCTGGGCGGGGGCGCGGGGGAGGATTGGAGGGTGGGGGAGGAAAGGAGGATGATAATAAGAGGAAAAGAAGACGATGAGAAGAGGAGGAGGAGAAGGAGGAGGAGGAGAGGAGGAGGAGGAGGTGGAGGAGGAGGAGGAGGTGGACTAGGAGCAGGAGGAGGAGGAACAGCTTGTAAGTTGGCAAGGTGTCCGTCCGGGACGGGAAATAAACACGATGAGAGCCTGGCCAGAGACAGCAGCAGCATAACACCTCCTTTTGAGCCCCGAAGCCCGAAAGGGTGCGACAGCCAGGGTTCCTTGCGCTCGTACAACACGTCCAGCGCACAACGCAACGCTCGTGCAGCAGCGCAAGAAACGTCGGCGCTGGCGTCGGCGTCTGAGTTTGCGTCGGCGTTGGCGTCGGCGTCGTCGTCGTCGTCGGCGTCGGCGGCGGCGTTGGCGTCGGCGTCGGCGGCGGCGTCGGCGGCGTCGGCGTCGGCGGCGTCGGCGTCGGCGTCGTCGTCGGCGTCGTCGTCGTCGGCGTCGTCGTCGGCGTCGGCGTCGGCGTCAACTTCGGCGGCGGCGGCGGCGTCGGCGTCGGCGTCGGCGTCGGCGTCGGCGTCGGTCGTCGTCGTCGTCGTCGTCGTCGTCGTCGTCGTCGTCGTCGGCGGGCGTTGGCGTCGGCTGTCGGCGTCGTTCGTCGTCGTCGTCGGCGTCGGCGTCGGCGGTCGTCGGCGTCGGCGTCGGCGTCGCGTCGTCGTCGCGTCGGCGTCGGTCGTCGTCAGTCGTCGGCGTCGTCGTCGTCGGCGTCGTCGCGTCGGCGTCGGTCGTCGCGTCGGTCGTCGTCGTCGTCGTCGCGTGTCCGCGTCGGCGTCGTCGGTCGTCGGCGTCGGCGTCGGCGTCGTCGGCGTCGTCGTCGGCGTCGTCGTCGTCGCCGTCAGCGTCGGCGTCGTCGTCTGCGTCGTAGTCGTCTTCGTCGGCGTCCTCGTCGGCGTCGTCGTCGTATGCGTCGGCGTGGGCCTCGGCGTCGTCGGCGTCATCGTCCGCGTCGTTCCCGTCGGCGTCGGCGTCGTTGTCGTCGGCGTCGGCGTCGTCGTCGTCGTCGTCGGCGCAGCGTCGGCGTCGGCGGCGGCGTCGTCGTCGGCGTCATCGGCGTCGTCGGCGTCGTCGTCGGCGTCGGCGTCAACGTCATCGTCGTCGGCGTCGTCGTCGGCGTCCGCGCCGTCGGCGTTGTCGTCGTCGTCGGCGTCGTCGTCGGCGTCGTCGAGGTCGGCGTCGTCGTCGGCGTCGCCGTCGTTGTCGGCGTCGGCGTCGTCGGCGGCGTCGTCGGCGTCGTTCCCGTCGGCGTCGGCGTCGGCGTCATCGTCGTCGTCGGCGTCGTCGGTTCGAGTCGGCGGCGGCGGCATCGTCGGCGTTGGCGTCGACATCGCGGGCCGTCAGCGTCCGCGTTCGGCCGTCAACGTCGTCGGGCGTCGTCGCCATCGGCGTCGTCGGCGTCGTCGTCGTCTGCGTCGGCGGAGTCGCGTCGGCGGCGTAGCGTTCTGCGTCGGCGTCGGCGTCGTCGGCTTCGGCGTTGTCGTCGTCGTTGTCGGCGTCGGCGTCGTCGTCGTCGGCGTCGTTGTCACCGTCGTCGTCGGCGTCGTAGTCCGCGTCGTCGTCGTCGTCGGCGTCGTCGGCGTCATCGTCGTTGGCGTCGACGTCGGCGTCGTGGTCGGCGTCGTCGGCGTCGGCGTCGTCGGCACGTCGGAGGCCCCCCCCCGTCGGGGTCGTCGTCGTCGTCGTCGTGGGCGTCGGCGGCGTGGCGTCGCGTCGGCGTCGGCGTCGGCGTCGGCGTCGTCGCGTCGTCGTCGTCGTCGGCGTCGTCGTCGTCGGCGTCGTCGTCGGCATCGGCGTTGGCGTCGTCGTCGGCGTCGTCGTCGTCGGCGTCGTCGTCGGCGTCGTGGGCGTCGTCGTCTGCGGCGTCGTCTGCGTGGGCATCGGCGTCGGCGTCTTCGTCGTCGGCGTCATCGTCGACGTCGGCGTCGGCGTCCGCGTCGGCGGCGGCGTCAGCGTCGTCGTCGTCGTCGTCGTCGTCGGCGTCGAAGTCGGCGTCGGCGTCGTCGGCGTCGGCGTCGTCGTCGGCGTCGGCGTCGACGTCGGCGCTGTCGGCGTCTTCGTCCTCGTCGCCGTCGCCGTCGTCGTGATTTGGCCGGCGTCGGCGTCGGCGTCGTCGTCGTCGTCGGCGTCGTCGTCGTCGTCGGCGTCGTCGTAGTCGGAGTCAGCGTTGTCGGCGTCGGCGATGTCGGCAACGGCTTCGCGGGTACGCCGCGTCGGTCGTCGTCGTCGTTGGCTGCGTCGGACGTCGTGCGGCGTACGTCGGCGCGGCGTCGTCGGCGTCGAGTCGTC